AAAAAAAAAAAAAAAAAAAGATTGAAGTGAGCTATGATTGTGCCACGACAACTCCAGCCTGGGTGACAGAACAAGACCCTGTAATTAATAAATAAAGAAGTAAGTAAGGAAAGAAGAGAAGGAAGGAAAGAAAAGTAAGTAAGAAAGGAAGGAAAGGGAGGGAGGGAAGACTATATAAAGCTCCCTGTAATGCTGTCATTATATAATGTCTGCCAAATTCAAGTGAATTAAAAATAATTCCACTTGGAAACATTGAAGGAAGATCGTATAATTGCCTCTAAAGTGAAAGGCATCTGAAATGACAGAACAGGAGTGTGATTACCTGTGACTGCACAATTTCTCACATGACGCTGAATACAGATTTTGGCCATACAACTGGATCACTTGGCTTCCCAGATTAGACCCCTGACTTTTTTCTTGAGAAGTAGCACACCTCCAGATTGCTAATTAAGTGATAAGTTAGCTACCTCAGTTCTAAAATCAGAAAATGATTAGGGGGTAAAGAGATGAATTTTCTTTGGAATTGGAAACGATTTAGGGAAAGGCATATTAACAAAGATACATTATTAAAGCTTCAATATTTACAAATCCCAAAGAAGCTTTTAGGGATTTAGGGATTTAATCTTTGACTTTTAAAACCAGCTTTTCCTTGTCAGTCAAAATGCCAATGAGCATTTAACAACTGCAGGGAGCAGTGAGACAGGCACTTACACACTGCTAGAACAAGTACAAATTGATGGTCTTTCCAGAAAGCAGTATGGCAAAGTATGTGAAGGCTCTTAGCATGTTACTTTTCTTCACCTCCACTATTTCCCTGGTCTTAGTCCCAACATCTATTGTTGGAGCTTGCAGTAGCCTCTCAGCAGGTTGCTTTGCTTCTCTATCCCCTTATAGTCTGTTTTCAACACATCAATCAGAGTGATTCTTTTCAAACATAAGTCATAGCATGTTATTCTTCTACTGAAAACTCTGTGAGGTCTTCTCATTTCACTCAGAATAAAAGTCTTAAGTCCTCACAGTGGCCCATAAAGTCCTACATGAACTGGCCAGCCCTTTACCTCTCTGACTTCCTCTGCTACGACTGCCCCCTCATTTGTTCCATTCCAGCCACACTGGCCTCTTTGCTGTTCCTCCGACAGTGTCTTATATGCTGTCAACTTAGGGTCTTTGCACTGACTGTTTTGTCTGAAACACTCTTCCTCCAGCTATCTGCTTGATTAACACTATCATTTCCTTCAAGTCTTTGCAAAAATAATACCTTCTTAATGTATCTTACTCTGATTATTCTTTACAATATTGCAATGCCCTTACCTTCAACACTTTGGCATTTCTGATGCCCTTTACTTTGGCCTTTTTCTCTTTTCCATAGCACTGAAGACTTTAGTATTTATCCAAGGGTGCCTTCTCCCACCCTCTTAGAATATAAACTCCACAAGGCCAGGGATCTTCATTTTGTTCACTGACAAAAGTCCCTAAATCAGTCTCTGGCACCAAGTAGAAACTCAAATTGTTTGTTGAATTGATGAACTTTAAAAATAGGCCTACCCGGCCAGGTGCAATGGTTCACGCCTGTAATCCCAGGACTTTGGGAAGCCAAGGCAGGTGGATCACGAGGTCAAGAGATAGAGGCCATCCTGGTCAACATGGTGAAACCTGTCTCTACTAAAAATACAAAAATTAGCTGGGTATGGTGGCATGCGCCTGTAGTCCCAACTACTCGGGAGGCTGAGGCAGGAGAATCGCTTGAACCCAGGAGGTGGAGGTTGCAGATCGCGCCACTGTACTCTAGCTTGGCAACAGATCAAGACTCCAACTTAAAAAAAGAAAAATAGGCCCATCCTTTAACCTAGAGATTTCCACTTCTAGAATTCATTCCTAAAGAAACAGAGATTCATTTAGTCTGTTAGTCTGTTTAATTTTAGTCTGTTAGCTATTATAAAAATGAAATTTTCAAACAACCAAAACAAGTAATGGTTAAATGATATATCTACATGTGGAATATCATAAAGATATTAAAATAAGCCTTTTGAAGAATATGTAATTACATGAGGAAATATTTATAATGTTAAAGTAAAAAAGTAAAATGTAAAACCATGTATACCCCTACCTTATGTCATATATAAAAATTAACTCAAAATGTATCAGTGATCTCAATATAAAAGCCAAAACCATAAAACCATTAGAAGAAAACATAAAAGTAAATCTTCATGACATTTGATTGGCAGTGGATTCTTAGATATGACACCAAAAGCATAATCAATAAAAGAAAAAATAGATAAACTGGACTTAAAATTGAATTTTTTTTGCATGAAAGGCATTATCAAGAAAGTAAAAAGACAACCCACAGAATGGGAGAAAGTATCTGTAAGTAATATATCTGATAATGGTTTAATATTCAGAATAGACAACTTCTACGATGCAACAGCAAAAAGACAAACCACCCAATGAAAAAAATGGGAAAATGTCCTGTGTAATCCCAATACTTTGGGAGGCCAAGGCAGGAAAATCACTTGAAGCCAGGAGTTTGAGACCAGCCTGGGCAACATGATGAGACGCTGTCTCTACAAAAACAAAACAAAACAAACAACAACAACAAAAAAAAAAACAAAAAAAAAAAACGGGGTGTGGCAGCACACATTTATAGACCCAGCTATTCAGGAAGCTGAAGCAGGAGGATCACTTGAGCCCAGGAGTTCAAAGTTACAGTGAGCTATGATCCTGCCATTACACTCCATCCTGGGTAATAGAACAAGACCCTGTCTCTAAAAAATAAACAAACAATTGTATTTTAAAATGGGAAAATGATTTGGGTAGACATTTATCCAGAGAGGATATACAGATAGCCAATAAGTACATGAAAAGATGGTCAACATCATTAGTCATTAAAGAAATGCAAATCAAGACCACACTGAGATCCCACTTCACACTTACTATACAAGATGGCTATAATGTTAGTAATAATAAAAGAAAATAACAAGCATTGTTGAGGATGTAGAGAAATTTGAACTCTCATGCATTGCTGGTGGGAATGTAAAATAGTACAGACGTTAGCGGGGCACAGTGGCTCATGCCTGTAATCCCAGTAGTTTGGGAGGCCAAGGCGGGTGGATCACTTGAGGTTAGGAGTGCAAGACCAGCCTGACCAACATGGTGAAACTCCATCTCTACTACAAATACAAAAATTAGTCAGGTGTGGTGGCGTGTACCTGTAATCCCAGCTATTCGGGAGGCTGAGGTGGAGAATCGCTTAAACCCAGGAGGCAGAGGTTACAGTGAGTTGAGATCGCACCACTGTGCTCCAGCCTGGGCAACACAGCGAGACTCCATCTCAAAAAAAAAAAAAAAAAGTGCAGACATTGTGAAAAACAGTCTTGTGGTTCCTTAAAAAGCTCAACATAGAATTACTGTATGACCCAACAATTCTACTACTGGTGTATATCTCAAAGATTTTTGAAAACAGGTACTTACATGTCATTGTTTATTATACCATTATTCACAGTAGCCAAAAGGTGGAAACAACCTAGGCGTCCCTCAACAGATGACTGGATTTAAAAAATGTGGCATATATACACAGTAGAATATTATTCAGCCATAAGGAAGAAGGAAGTTTTGGTACATGCTACAACTTGGATAAACCTTAAACGCATTATGCTAAGTGAAAGAAGCCAGACACAAAAGGACAAATAGTGTATGATTCCACTTATATAAAATACCTAAAACAGGCAAATTCAGAGAGACAGAAAGTAGATTAGAGGTTACCATGGTGGGTGTTAGGGGATGAGGAGTTACTGTTAATGGTTACAGAGTTTCTGTTTGGGGTGATGAAAATTTCTTGGAAATAAGTAATGGTGATAATTGCATAACATTGTAAATGTCATTAATGTCACTGAATTATACATTTTAAAATGGTTAAAATTGCAAATTTTATATTATACATATTTTACCATTATAAAAAAGTTTCAAAAAATCCCCCAAACTGTATATAATATACTGCGGTGGGCTGGATCTGGTTTGTGTAAGCTCTTGAGAGCTGACCGTGGGAACCTCTTCCAAACTATTCATTCAGTGAAGTTGGTAGCATCAGATTGGTCATGGTGGAAACATTTATGCCATCTCAGTTGTCAAATGGTGCAAAGCAGCTCCTATTTCCAACCCCTTCGAGCCAGTTGTTATATATTTACCAGCACAGCACTGAATATATGTGTATAAAAATTATACAAAGCTACCTGGAAAGATAGATGTTAAACTGTTAATGGTGTTACCTCTGGGGAGGAGAGTGATGATGTGGCAGGAATATGAAAGTAAACTTGAACATAAAAAGTGTAAATTTCAATGTTGCTTCCATATTTTTTTTATGGTGAGCATGTGGACATATTTCTTGTATCAGTTTTTAAAAATAGACCAGAAAGTCTGTACATATTAGGATTTTGGTTTTGGTAACTTTTTTCTTGAGAGGCTGAAAGCTGGTCACATATACTATCTGAAATAGCCCATGGAGAGACTGGAGGCCAAGCCTAGGACTTGAATTCTATTTTTTCAAAAATCTGCTTTTTTTTTTTTTGCCTAACTAATAAGCTTTCTTATCTCTCTGTAGGTTACCCCACAGCCTATCCAGCAGCGGCCCCTGCCTACAATCCCAGCCTCTACCCCACCAATAGTCCCAGTTATGCTCCAGGTAAGGAGAAAATAGGGACAGCAGTGGTGAATGGGGAAGGGGGAATCTATTTGGAAAAACAAAACCACCTGCTGGCCTTTTCCTGTTCTTAATTGCTCCAGGCCCAGCCTGTCCAGGCTTGATTTTCCTGGGAGTCCCCCCTTCTGGGAACTGAGACAGATCAGCCTCAGGGTGGGGGCAGGAATAGAATCTTCTCCATTCTCTCTGGGACTTAAGGTTGGCTCATCAATCCTGTGCTGGAATGTCTGAGACCTGCATCCTCCTCATAGAACATTTTCTGCTCCCCAAGCAATGTCTAAATTCATTCTTTGCTCAGTTTTCCCTGAGGCTGCCATTGGGACGGACGGACGGGGGCACACACACACAGACACACTCTCTCTCCTTCTCTTCTCCTTGGGACACACACACACGCTCTTGACACACACACACTCTCCTTGGGACACACACACACATACACACACACGCTCTTGACACACACACACACACACACACACACACACAAACGCACTCTCTCGCTCGCTCGCTCTCTCTCTTTCTCACACTCTCTTACTCTCCTTGGGACACACACACACACACACACACACTCTTGCCACCAGAAGGTAAAGAGCTGGTTTTCAAGCTGAGATAAGCTGCTGGGTTTTCAAAAATAATAAAGGCCCAACAATCCTTGGATTGAGGTTGAAATGGGTTTGAAAATGTTGAAAAGGTTTTTTGGGCTTGGAGCACTGCAGAGGTCTTAGTTCTGATCTTAACCCTCATGCTCAGCTGGTACTCTAATACTCAACAGCAGGGTATAGGCTCTGTGGTTAGAAAGTCCTGGGTTTGAATCCTGATTACCTGACTCACTAGTTGTAAGGCCTTGGCCAAGTCACCTCACCTCTCTGAGATCCAATGTGACTACCTGCCTCAGGGTTATGGATGGTTTTATGTAAGTTCCTTTTACTCAACAAGTATTTGTTGAATGTCTTCGATACTGAGATACAAAAATTGAAAGATGCCATCTTTGCCTGTCTGAAGTAGCTTACAGTCACATTGGGGAGCCTGGCATGTAAACTCATTGCAGTGCTAATGTGCTAAGTATTGTAAAAGGAATACATATAAGGGGAGGAGGAGGGAACAACAGTCTGCCTGGGGGGAAAGTATAGGGCAAGCTTGGTTGGGTGCTGTGGCTCATGCCTGTAATCTCAGCACTTTGGAAGGCCGAGGCAGGCGGATCACCTGAGGTTGGGAGTTTGAGACCAGTCTGACCAACATGGAGAAACCCTATCTCTACTAAAAATACAAAACAAATTAGCCAGGCATGGTGGCACATGCCTGTAATCCCGGCTACTTGGGAGGCTGAGGCAGGAGAATAGCTTGAACCTGAGAGGCAGAGGTTTTGGCGAGCCGAGATTGCTGCATTGCATTCCAGCCTGGGCAACAAGAGTGAAACTCTGTCTCAAGAAAAAAAAAAAAGTGTAGGGGAGGCTTCAGAGAGTGGGTAACAATAGAGACTTGAAGGAGAAGTAGAAACTATTCTTTAAGCACACAAAGGAGAGTGGGCATTCCGGGTAGAGTAGAGCATGGGCAGAGGCTTAGAGATGTGCGAACAGGACACTGTGAAGAACACAGAAGTAGGGGAGTGGTTGCAGCATAAACTATAAGCGGCTAGATGAATCTGAACTATAGATATGCAAGGGCGAGATTTGGAGAGGCCTTGAATGTCTTGATAATACCCCACATTTTCTTTCTTTCTTTTTTTTTTTTTTTTTTTTTTTTTGAGATGGAGTCTCGCGGAGTGCAGTGGCGCATTCTCGGCTCACTGCAACCTCCGCCTCCCGGGTCCTGTTTCAAGCAGTTCTTCTACCTCAGCCTCCCAGGTAGCTGGGATTACAGGCACAAACCACCATGCCTAGCTAATTTTTGTATTTTTTAGTAGAGACAGGGTTTCACCATGTTGGCCAGTCTGGTCTTGAACTCCTGACCTTGTGATCCACTTGCTTCAGCCTCCCAAAGTGCCGGGATTACAGGTGTGAGCCACCGCACCCAGCCATACCCCACATTTTCTTGTTTAGCAGTTATCATTATAGAATTAGAAAGCTTCCAAAGACCTTAGAGATCCCCCAGTCAACTTCTTCTCTTGACAAAGGAGAACCAAAAAACAGTGATTTGTCCCAACATACCCAGTGAGTCGGCAGCAGCATATGGACTAGAATCTTTGGCAGATCTCCTGACTCTTGTCCTGTGCCTTTCTCTCCCAATGTAGTGCTTATTCTACTGTCAATATCTTTCTTGGGGCACACTTAAAGGAGAAAAGAATATAGGTTGTCTGAAGACCTAGGTTTGAGTCCTCACTGTCATTTCCTAGATTAGCAACCTTAAAGTCACCTGATCTATCTGAATCTCATTTCCCCCATCTCTAAGTAGGAATCATATCATAATTATGCACACACACTATGAAGTTATCAGATAGCCCCTCTTTTTTGGGCAAACAAGAACTATTTTAGGTAAATAGGTGATGGTATCCCCTAAGGTGTTTACATAGATGTTCCACAGACATTTTGACCCACCCTGTTATGCTTAAGATATTTTGGAAGACCATGTAGATGATTCAAACTTGAGGAAGCTGTAGTCACTGCCTTTGGAGCGCTTATGAAGGGAGCAGTGATGCATGGGCTAAAATTCTATAATAGTATCTCAGCATTGGTTTTATATTTACTTTTAGTCAATATGATATATAATATTTTCCCCAAGATCTATAATAGAAGGCAAAAACAATAAAAGCTACAGAAATTCTGATAATCAAATTGGATAATTTCTATCTTAACTACAAAGGCTTCAATTATCATGTATATCATGATATATAAATGATTTAAATTTAAGTGCTATTAGATCTGTGAATTGACTTTGTAAACTGTTCCCAGTCTAAAACAAAAAGAGTTGTTGCAGAAGGTCAAGTAAGATCAGGAGTGAAGAAGATTCATTGTCTTTATAGTCTGGAGGCCACCAGTGACCTCACTGGAAGCATTGTTAGTGAAGTGGTGAGGCTAGAAACCAGAGTGCAGTGAATCAGGAGTGAAGAAGTAGATTTAGCATATACAGTCTATTCTTACCTGAAGCTTAGCTACCAGGAAAGGAAAAACAAAAGGACACTGACTAGAAGTGAACGTAGGGTTGAAGGCGGGTTTTCTCAGATATGAGCAAAGTTAAGGACTGATAGGAAGGGGCAAGTGGAGAGGATCAGTCAGAGATGCAGGAGAAGTGGTGCCAGAGCCAGGCCGCCACAGAGGCTGGTGTAGGGGTGGGAAATCTGGAGCTCAGTTCTCTTCTTTGGTTTGTGAAGTTGAGTGGCAGATGGAGACAGGGTGCCTCATGCAAGAGAGCAACTCTTCCTTTCCGACTAAAGGAAAGGTCAGAGGTAGATGTGCTTAAATAAATTGCCCAATGGAAAGTGGAGAGTTCTCATCTAATGACCTTGATTTGCTGCTACAGAGGGCAGCAGGGGTAAAGGGAGCGTTCTTAACTAGGAAGGTCAGGGTGTGAGAGCCTCATAGGAAGGAGTAGGACTGGAAACTACCAAAAGATAACAGAGCAGGGTGACATTCGGGGCCCACCTGAATGGTGAAGGCTGTGCATTTGTCCAGGCTCTCATCCTCAGAACTGGGCTGTTTTCTCACAATGTTCAGCACTTCTGGTGATAGATTGTGGGATTGTTTTAGGATCCGTTTACCAATAAGTGGAAAGATATGGAATAAATAGCTACTGCTTATTGAATGTTTTCTATGTGTTCATGTTCAAGACTATTTGAAGTTCTTTATGGATATTAGCTTATTTTATACGGCAATAAACTTTTGAAGTTGGTATTCTTATTATCCCCATTTTCCAAATGGGAAAACTAAAACTTGGAGAAGTTACATAACTAGCCCAAAGATCCAAGGCCTAGCACCCTAACACTGTGTCTGCATGAGCTCTTAACTGCTACATTGTAGTTGCATCAGTGGGCCAGAGAGAAATTAAGGCATTACACTGGCTAAAGAGGGAAAGGAGTGCAGATAGGAGGAGACTGAAACTGTAGGGGAAGAAAAGAAATTCAGTACATCTTGGCATATATATTCAATTTTAATTTTATTAAAATAAAAATAAGCCCTCATCTAACTTGATTTTCCCTAATTTTGCTTTTAAAAGTCAACATATTTCTACTAATGTCACCCAGACTATTTTCTCAAAAACTCACAAAATCCACAAGAGAGGGTGGTGTTATTGTATTTGAAGACCCCAAACTCAGAGTTGAAAGACTTAGGTTGTAGCACTAACTTTGCTTCTGATTTTGGTGTGACCGTGGGAAGATCCCCTTCCCTTTCTTTCCCTTTTGAGTTACACACACGCACACACACACACACACACAGAGCATATTTTGGAATGCTGGCCTCTGGATTCACAGTGCAGATTTCCTGACTGTGGGGGACTTCCTACCATGGAGAAGCTAGCTCAAGGTCAGAAAGGACCATTTAGATTACTCTCACCTTCCTGCCAGAGCCAGCCATTTGTGATGCAGAGGAGGTACCTTCAGAAGGAACCAGGCTCTTAGGTTTAAATTTTTTTCTGCTGCTTTAAGGAGAACAAGAAGTTGCTTGAGAGAGAGAGAGAGAGAGAGAGAGAGCACGCGCGCTATTTTTAGCAGCTCTGAGTACCTAAGATGTTATCTGTCTAGGATGCAGAGAAGCATTTCACTCTTTTCATTGGTTCTGAAAGCAATGTGGGCATTTGGAGCTTTTTCCCAAGCTCTTAATGATGTCAGGGATCTTATTTAGGAACTCTTTGGTCCCGCAAGAGGTAGGAGTCAATCAAGATTTGGTTTTCAGAATCTAGGGATCTGTTAATGGTAATCTGGCTTGAAAATAAATGATGGGAAGGATAAACAGGTTAACTAATACAGATAAAAATAAAATAACCTCCTCATGGAATCTGTTGACACAACATTTTCTTGTATTATCTCATTTGATTTCACAGCATCCCTATAAAGTACAAATACATTATTCCCATTTTACATATAACAAACTTGGGGGAGCATAGGGAAAAAGAATTTGTGCTTTCTGAACAGCTGCCCTGTTCCAAGCCCTGCGCAAGTCATGTTACAAACCTTCATTTTTACCTTAGTCTTGTGAGTTAGAGCTTCCTGTCTTCAACTTGGCTCAAACAGGATAAATAAGTTGCCCAAAGTTATGCAGCTAAAAAGCAGTAGATTTGGGAGGGCAAGACAGGAGGATGGCTTGAGGCCAAAGGTCAGGACCAGCCTGGGCAACATGATGAGACCCTATCTCTACAAAAAAATTAAAGAAAAGAAAAATAGACAGGCTTGGTGGCATGTACCTGTAGTTCCAGCTACTCAGGAGGCTGAGACAGAAGGATCACTTGAGCCCAGGAGCTGGGGGCTGCATTTAGCTATCATTGCACCACTGCTTTCTAGCCTGGGCAACAGAGTGAGACCCTGTCTCCATAAAAAAGCAGTTTAGCTGGGATTCAAACCCAACTTGTCTAACCCCACAACCTGTGCTCCTTCTATAGCACCACAGTGACCCAGAGACTTCAGGGTTGGTGTGCCTCTGCATTGCTCCTATCTCTCAGGGGTTTTACAGACAGCTCTTTAGACATCAAAGATGGTGATATTGTCTCTGAACCTTCACTTCCTCTAACACAAAGTCTCTGTCATATGTGAAATCCCTCTGCAGTTCTTGGGAGAACTGAAATGTAATCTTATAACAGACAAGCAAAAAGCAGGAACTTGGGCTTGTTCACATCCAGGCAGCTTTGGGTCAGCTGCCTGGAAGACACTATGGCATCCAGGGAGGGGCTCACTCCAATGAATGAACTTTCCCAGATGACAAGTCTGTCACCCTTTCTACGGTAAAGGTGCTTCACACCTTCTTTACTTACTGTGTTTGTGAAGCTGGCGGGGGAGGGGGAGAAACTGCTATCACAAAACAAAGTCTGTTTATGTAACTGCAATGTATACAACTTTGCACAAATTCTTAGTGGTAATTTCAACTAACATTTCTATCCAACAGAGTTTCAGTTCCTGCATTCAGCTTATGGTAGGAAAGCTATTTTTCCTCATCTGTATTACAGCCTATGAATGTGTTATCTCATAACAATGGTAGATCCCCTCTCCTCTCCTACCCAAATCCCATCCCCTAGGCTTGGGCTCCCCCCAGGTGGCTCAGCAGCAGTTCCTAAAGCATGCAGGAACATGTCTGATGGTGCAAAAATCATGGGTTGGAGACACACATGAACCATCCCTAGGGCAGCAGCAAAGGATCATGGCATTAAAAAGCATCTCTCACCCTAACCTGGCTGCCGAATTCAAACAAATCAACAAAAATTCCAGGGCCTGCATGCGGCTCCTCAGTTGGCTTTGTGGCAGCCTCTGTGAAGGAGTACCTGGATTATGCCTATTAGAACCCAAAAAACTAGTCTGCCCCAGGATCAGATTTTCCATCTCCATCGGCAGTCTGACACGTTTGAAGCCTTGGTTGACTTTAGATATAATCTGTTCCATCAGCCCAGAACTTGAGCTCTGGGCTCATTTTCCCAGAAGATGGTGAGAGGTGGGGGGCGAGGGGGCTAATAAGTGAGGGACCAGAACTGGGTTCTCTGGACAGTGTGGACTCCAGGCCCAAGGCACCACAGGAACTTCTGGGCACCTGTGAGGGTCCCAGCAGTATAACTTGACTAGGACCTTTTTGTCATAGACAGGAAGGGACCATGGGAAGGGCTTGCAACTTTCACCACCCTCACCTGGGCTGCTCTGGAAAATGTTTTTATAAAATCTCTGTACCCTTTCTCAACTTTTAACCTTGAATTATTTGGATGCTGGAAATTGAATTTGTGTGTTGCGCATCTGTCAGGAGATGAGCTGTGAAATTTCTCCTTGCCACAGCTGTGGGCTGTGTGATCTTGGGCAATTTACTAATGTCTCCAGGCCATAGATAAAATGTTTAATTTCACATGATCTCCGAAGTCCCTTTAAATACTAATACCCTGTCCTCTTATAATTTTATTACTTCAATTTTGTTAGTCACAGACCTGTTTCTCATGTAGTCATTTTTTGTTCGCCTCAGGATATATGAACCTGAACAGAAGGGTCCATAAAAAGTCAGAGAAGCTCTCATGCTTCCCCTTCCAGTTATAGCATCTGAAATAGATCTGCATACAGAATACGGTTGGAGCTCTTCACTTTACAAAATTCTGTGCAGGCCCTCAGCTGGCCCTTTGAAGATACAAAGTCTAGTAAGACAAGGGGCTTGTTCTCAAGGAGCTCAGAGTTTAGTGGAGAGAAGACATGCCATCAAGTACAGGTGCTTCCAAGAATCACAGGGATTGAGATTCTTCCAAGAATCACAGGGCTGTGGTTAAGGGGTGGGGGAAGGAAAGACTTTATAGTAGGTGTGAGTCTTCGGCTCATGATTGATGGATTAATCAGTATTACCAGATGGAGTCTGGGGAAAGACATGCCACAAGAGGTAGCAGTGTAGACAAAACATGGAGATGTGAGGTTCCCTGGCATATTCTGGGAATTATGAGCAGTTTCTGTGGCTGTAGTGTGGGCTGGAGATTGAGAACAATGAGAGAGTCTGGAAAGGTCTTCAGGACAAGATGATCATGATGGGGCATTGAATGCTACACAGGAGTTCAAACTTTAGCCTATAGTTAGTGGAAAACCATGGAATGTTTTCAAGAAAGGGGGTTTTGTGATTAGGTTTCAGTCTTAGGTATATGGCTCTGAATGCAGCTTGAAAATTGGAGGAAGCAGATTTAACATGAGGAAGCAGTTGCAGTAGTTAAGATGAGAGATGATGAGAGCTTCAATTAGAGCTGTAGCCTACAACTTTGGAAATGGAAGAGTGGACAGAAACCAGAACTAGAAACTATAAGACTGGGTGACACTTTATTTTTGACCCTCACATCAGTACTATGAAGCAATCAAGGAGTGATGATTATTGCCATTTTATGAGACAACAAATCTGAAGCTTAGAAAGGTTAAGTGACTTGCCCAAGGTCCCACAGCTAATAAGTGGCAGAGCCCAGGCTACAACTCAGATTTCCTGACTCAGTACATTGTTCAGGATGATGGTCCCTTGCTGCCTCTCTTTCTTGTAAATGTGCTTAACAGATTGTTCAAGTGTCAGAGGGCGTGAGGGCCCCGTATCCAGGGAAGTGAACAACCCAGCACCTGGATGTGGGCCGCATGCTGTGACTGGGCCCACGGCCCTTCACTGCCAAGGGTTCTCTCTCTCTCTCATTTCATTGAGGTATAACACACATACAGTAAAGTATATAAAGCACACTAATCTCTCTCTTTTTTTTTTTTTAAGATGGAGTCTCACTCTTTCACTCAGGCTGGAGTGCAGTGGTGCAAATCTTGGCTCACTGCAACCTCCACCTCCCCGGTTCAGGCAATTCTCCTGCCTCAGCCTCCTGAGTAGCTGGGATTACAAGTGCATGCCACCACACCTGGCTAATTTTTGTGTTTTTTAGTAGAGACAGGGTTTCACCATGTTGGTCAGGCTGGTCTCGAGCTCATGACCTCGTGATCCACACACCTCGGCCTCCAAAGTGCTGGGATTACAGGCGTGAGCCATTGCACCCAGCCAAGTACACTAATCTTAAGTGTATATAGCTTAGTAATGTTTTTACATATGTATATGCCTATATTTAACTACCACTCAATTCAAAATACAAAACATCTCTAGGAAGTGGTACTTTTCAGGCACCCAAGGGCAGGCATGCTGTTCAGAGCAGCCTCCTCTATCACCATGCCTCTAAAAGCTTCAGTTGGAATTGTCTTCATCCCTCAACTGAGCTCTGAATCACTTCCACCAACAGAATGGGTAACTTCAGAATTGTGTACCAGGAGTTGGATCACACGGTACAACTAACTAATGAGGTCAAGTTGACAGCTAATATTTGTTTTTTGATTTGTTTTCACATTTATCTAGTTATTTAAATTACAAGGATTCAAATATACAGAGAAGTACAGAACACACTAATTTGTTTTCTTTATGATGAAACCAGGAAAAAATACAGAAAAGTATTTTTATTCAGAAAAACATATAGTATAGTTCACGTCATCGGTTGGAAAAGACATAGTAATCAAAGGCACAGTCGCACTTGCTTCTTTCTTGGTTAACCTGGAACATTATTTTATTGTGTATCATGCTGTCTTGTTCACTCCTTGGTTGGCGTGTGGCTGTGTTGCATCCCCAGCTAGACCATAAGTACCTTGTGTGCAGTGACTGTGACCCACGTGTGTTCCCTTCCACCGTGGCGCTCCCCTCAGTGCTGAGTGCAGTGTAGACCTCAGTCGCTCTTTGGACAAAAGAGTGATTTACTCTTTTATGAAAAGTAAGTTAAGTTAGTTTGACTTACTAACTTTAATTGTCACACAGTCCTTCAGGCTAATGTCAGACTTTTGGCTTATTATGAAAATTATGGTAAAGTATATACCACTTGGAGGAAAAAATTGGAATGTACTAGAACCTCCAAATTCTCTAAATCCCTACAGCCAAATTCGGGACTTCTGCCCCCTGGTGGCGTTCCTGTGGGGTTTTGAGGGAATGGGCTTGCTTCATCTGACTTTTCAGAGCTGTATGTTTTACTTTTTAAGAGTTGTTTTGGGAGTGGCCACTGCTTTCCAGCCACATGTATGGCAGACTAAATTTGGAGACATCTTGATAAAGATATGTTAACACTAATTGGATTCTTTATCCCTCTCCTGTTTCCCACTCCCCAAAGAAAAGAAATGCAAAATGATTGTTTAAAATGGACTCTCCTCCTCCTTCATTGTCTGCAGAGCCATGTCTCGATGACCAGGAAAGGCCCTGGGCTCTACATGGAGTTCTGCTGGGTCTCCATTTCTCTTACCAGAATTCTCCTTTTAGTGTGACTTTCCTGCCCATGATTTCTTTCTCATTTGTCAGCATCTGCTGTATATATTGCGGGCCATTAATGCAAACGCAGAGTCAGCCTACAATAGCCATACTTCTAGCCTTGCTTCAACAAAAACAGCACAGTCCCTGACCTTCTCTGGCCCCAGTACTTCTGAGATCAAAGGAATCAGAGGTATTACCTGTTACCTGAATGGGCAGAAGGGGTTACAGGATCTCTCTGGAGGTAGAATATCCTTGTCCTGGTGGAATTAGAGAGTGTATAGGCATACTTTCTTCTCATAACACCCTGTCTTAGCCTCTCAGTTAAATATTTTAAGTATTGCCAATGCAGCCCCACCTTCTGCTGATATGCTATATAAAACCCCATATCCATGGCCCCCCAAGACTTTGAGTGGAAAAGATGTTGCTAAAGTTATTCTTTTTACCATAAACAGAAATTTGACTCAAGAATGTTTCCCCTCTAGTGTTTGAAATTATAACAAGGAAAATATCTAAAAAGTTAGGCAAGTCCCCCTTTGGAACTCTGTTTCTTTTCTCTTTCCCCTCAGGATACCACGAAGGTAAGTTTTTTGAGTCACACCACACTTCTAAAACATATGAAGTATCATCCTTCAAATATCTCTAGCTGAGCTTTGAATCAGCCTGGGAAGTCTCTGCAGATCTTAAACTGGCCTCATCTATATTTCATACCTACCCCAAATTTGATATTTGCTTTCTTAATGGCCCAAAGGACCATCTCTAATTAATGAGGAGATATCCCAGGTGGGGCACCCAGTAACACCTCAGCAGAAGATATTCAGGGGTATGCAAGAATTATGTCTGTCTGGCCTCAGGAGAAGAGTTATTAGCAAGGAGTGCCCCACTGGCTAACTAGGTTTAGTGCAGCACAGTGCCCAGTGCCTTTTAAGCTGCCATGGCCACAACTCAGTCCCTTCAGAGGAGATGGCAGTCCAGCAAGGTTCATGTAATGCGTAATTTTTTGTGGGCCTGTCTTTGAAAGCAGCTTATAAATATACCTCCAGATGGTATTTCAGAAAATAAAGAGTGCTCAGTTGATCTGGTCAACACACAAAGGCTCCCAAGTTGCTACACATTAATGAGAAAGTGGCTGAGCAATATATCAGAGCCTTAGGCCACAATGTTAGGTAGTAGGAGGTGGTATTCATGGGCATCTTTGTGATTTTAGTAGTAGGTAGAAAATCCTGACTCTTTTAGTATAACTTCAGATTTTCTTGATTTCAAATCATTTGGAAACATACATCAGCACTCCTCCCAACCCACTTACCCATTTCGGAAAGGCTGAGCCATCCTGTGTGTCTGAACAGGCTCCTTGGGTTGTGTGTTTTTGTCCAGCACAAGACTCTTGCTTTGTGTCTGTGATTGGTGGTGGCCACTTCTTATTTCTGCCTAATGCCATTCTTGTGTCTTCCCTTAAGCAACTCTGCTGATGAAACAGGCCTGGCCACAGAACTCGTCTTCCTGTGGCACTGAAGGCACCTTCCACCTCCCAGTGGACACCGGGACCGAGAACCGAACTTACCAAGCATCCTCTGCGGCTTTCAGTAAATACAGCCTGTCTCCTTTCCTTGTTCCCCTTGGTTGGGACTGATTTGTTTCTTAGGAAGAAAGGAAAGGGAGCTTTTAAAAATGACATTTATGAGATAAATACTGTTTTAAGAGGTTCTTTTACCCAGGCAAAAAATTGGCCCTCCTTATTCAGGAAAGGTCATCCTCTTTGATCATGCACCCAGCTTTGGGGAGACACAAAGCACTGAGGGAGGGAGAAGGAAATACTCACCTGGCCAGCAAGTTGACTGGGGAAGGACTGTTACTGCATTTCAGGGGGAAAGGACAGAGGGTACATTTTGAAGGTCTGTCGGTCTTTGGACAGACAGGGCTTGTCCCCAGCACAGGGCTTCTTAACCTTAGCACTATTGACATCTAAGCCACGTAATTCTTTGTTGTCAGGGCACTGTCCTGTGCATTATAGGATGTTTAAGAGCATTCCTGGCCTCTACCCTAAATGCCAGTAGCAAAGCCTCATTGTGACAACCAAAAATGTTTATAAACATTGCTAAATATCCCCTATGGGACAAAATTGCCCCCTGTATGAGAAACAGTGTCCTAGTGGAAGCTGCACTACAGGACCACGGTGTGTACAAGGAGTCTTCAGGGAGGCCAGAAACCAGCTAGCCAGTCTGACTGGTCATATTCATCCTGAGGCTCAGTAGAGAAACTGATATTGTCACCTTCACATCTAATTTTTAACACAAAGTGGTTCCACTGGGAATATAAGGACCAATGTTTAGAAATTACTGAGTGGCATCTTGACGCCATCTAAGACGACCTTTGTGTCTTGTCAGAGCTGTTCAATAGAGGTATGACTGACTTTGGATGTGGTGAGAACTTATCTCTTAAGTTGTGCCAGCAGGGACTGGACAAGCCCTCCCAGGGATGTTCCAGATAAGGCCTGATAATCTGTGGTTCCACAAATTATTAAGGCACTAAGTAAGTAGAACAGAAAAATGCATTGTATTTTTTTCTTTTCTTTAAAACATCTGTGTTAGTCTGTTCTTGCGTTGTTATAAAGAAATACCTGAGGCTGGGTAATTCATAAAGAAAAGAGGTTTAATTGGCTCACAGTTCTGCAGGCTGTGCAAGCATGGTACCAACTTCTGCTTAGCTTCTGGTGAGGGCCTCAGGAAGCTTACAGTCAAGACGGAAGGCAAAAGGGGAAGCCAGGATATCACATGGTAATAGAGGGCACAAGGGGCTGGGAAGGTGCCACACTCTAAATAATCACAGTTCACTCATCGGCAAGGGGATAGTGCTAAGCCATCATGAGGGATCCACCCCTATGATCCAATACCTCCCACCAGGCCCCATCTCCAACACTGGAGGTTACGTTTCAGCATAAGAGTTGAAGGAAACAAACCTCTAAACCATATCAACATCCAAAGTCATTTTCTCCTTAGTTTTCATTGCCCCTAGATGTCAACATCAGTTTATGTTCATACAACATAACTCACCTTTTGTAGAATATAGTTTCATGATCACCCTCTCATTTAATCTACATTATACTTGTCCTAAGTTATTTGGGTGGATTTTCATCCCAGTTTGAAAGATGAGGCTCAGAAAGGTAATAGGTCCAATGCCACCCAGCTAGTAAGCAGCACAGCTAGAAAAAGATACCACCCAGATTAAGATTCTGTTACTGACCTTTTTCATGAGATTGATTTTACTCTTTAAGAGGTATGTCAGCCATAAGGAGTTTTTCCAGATACCTCAGGTAGAATGAATGAACATACATAAGATTATATACATATATAAATAGGGATATACATATTCTCTCTGACATCTAAATATCGATATAGATGCATACAGGCACAGCTACAGTAGTGTAGCAGAAAATGGCCTGGAGTGGAAGCCCAAAGCATTGAATTCTAGACTGGTTCTGTGTAACCTTGGATAATTCATGTCCATGCATTGGACCTTGATTTTTCAAACTGCAAAATGAAGGAACTGAACTAAATTATCTCCAAGGTTCTTTCTTGCAGTTAGACTTCTTATTCTCTCAGCAAGATGATGTGTACTCAGTGTCTTCCACCACAACAGGGCTCTCCTCTCGAGTTGCCCTTAACAGTGGCTGGCCAACAAACCATCTCCAAAAAGAGGCAACCTTTTCCACAGTTACAAAGTCTGAGTAACAGAAGGCCTTGCGTTCTACTATGTTGAAATCTTCCTGAAGTCCCATTAAGTGTCCAGCAGCCATAACCCACTGTTTCCTCCCAGACAGTCTATCACAGTCCTTGAAAAGAACCAAAATTTAACCCCGATTGATGACCTTTTTTGAGTAAAGGTCTTGCTCTTGTCACTCATACTGGAGTCCAGTGGCACATTCATGTTACATTGCAGTCTCAAACTCCTAGGCTCAAGTAATCCTCCCACGACAGCCTCCCATGTAGCTGGGACCACAATGCCCAGCTAATTTTTTTTTATTTTTTGTAGAGATGGGGTTTTGCCACATTGCCTAGTCTGGTCTCAAACTCCTGGGCTCAAGCTCTCCTCCCAACTCAGTCTCACAAAGTGCCGGGATTATAGGTATCGGCTACCATGCCTGGCCGACCCCTCTCTTTTAAGAAAGTAATGTAAAAACCTGTACCATTTTTTAATGCAGTTGGGGTTGACTGGCCCTCCCATACCCATAAAGATTCCTCCCAGCATTCAGATTTTGTGGCTTCTAGTACCATAGAAAATTCAGGACACTTTGACAAATTCAATTCAATTTCACCAACACTTGCTAAGCCTGTTTGTAATTAGGTCGCCTACTTATTCATCACTGTCTTACTTGGCTACCAACAAGGAGCTTAGGGGTCAAAGCAAGATTCAGACATAGGGCTTTGTTTTGTCCAGACATATAAATCTGATGATCAATAAACCGATTAGTCTAAAAGGCATCCGTGATTCGAGGATCAATGCCCTTGAAGGTGGTAGGGGTTCTACAACTGAAAAAGATTTATGGCAGTGAAAAAGGATTGCAGAAAGGGCTGAAAAGGTTTTATCTTGCTAATATACATACTTTTTTTTATTATCCCATTTGATGGATTCTGAAATTATGGTTAGGAACCTAAGAGAAAGAATAGGACATCATAAACAAAGCCTCTTCTATAAGGCAGAACTGGGACTTCTAGTGATGGAATTCCTTTTTTCTCTCATGATATTGCCTTTAGTGAAATGGGGACAACAAAGGCCAGTATATTAAATGCCCAAGATTGGACTACAGAGACTTTAACTCAGCAAGAGCTCTGCCTAGGGCATGGTGAGCCCTGAACTTTGGGCCCAGCTGTGTACTGATGTGCTATACAATTTGGGGAAAATCTGTCCTCCTGGGCTCCAGGTTCTTTCTCTGAAAGGAAGAAAATTGGATATAAACCTCTAATGTCCTTCAAGCACAACATTCCAAAGTCTTAATTCTGTGACCTTTAGGCTTAGAATTCCTCTCAGGATAGCCAGGCCTCCAGTGAGTGAATTGAGTCTAAGTTCATTTGGGCAAAATCTATGATTTTTTTTTAAATTTTTTATTTTTTTGCCACAAGCTCAACGCTTCTTTTACTTAGATGCATAAAGTAATAAATCCTGATTTTTCTGTTACCCAAGCTCTGGCTATAGCTCCAGGGGAATTTTCAGCGTTCCTCAGGACTAATGACAGGACCACCAGTATATTGTGGAAAGTCCTCCGCAAATACTCACAGACTTAGAATGTCAGCACTAGAAAGGTTCTCTGATACTGTAGTCCAAATGAGGAAATTCCCTTAGAGAGGAATTGACCTGACTTACTGACAGAGCCTAGGATGAGGGCCCTCAGGCAGTTTCTGCAGCCTCCTGAAGATCCTCCTGACAAATGGTAACCTTGAGAACCACTGTGGTTAGAGGAAGTAGCACCGAGTCTTAGATCCCCACAAGCAGCTGTCTGTCTCAGCAGCTACTCATGATCTCATCTGTGAAGTGTTTATGCTGGTCTTAATGATCTCTGAGGTCTCTTCTAGCTCTGCAGTTCAGCTTCTCCCATCTCAGACTGTCTGGACAAACAAGCAAGGCCTTCTTCTGCAGCATCATCTCTCTGGCTGCCAAGGGTGTTTTGGCTACTTATTTGTATTCTAAGTATGTGTGTCTCTCATTTCATAACATAAAGAAAGGGAAACATCCTCCAGCAAGGTTATTGTTAGATGTGGAAACCAAATTCTACTGCAGTCTCTTAGAGCTTTTTGATTTTCCTCAGAGGGATAGTCTCACCACTTTGTAATATGGCTGTGCTTGCGGCATAGAATAGGTAATGCAGCTTCCCCACAGAAGATAAAAATTCCAGAGTATATTCTCCAGAAGTATAAAGGAAAGTCATCAGCATCGTCGACCTGTTAACTTTAAAGAATCACAAAATCATGGCATTTTAAACCATAACATTTTATAATCTTACAATCCTGGAGTCTTGTGTTCCAAGCCGGGACAGACCATAGTAGTCATAGTTTAGCTTTCGTCTTTCAGACCAGGCTCTGCCTGCATACCCTTAGGACAGGAGCTTACTGTCTCCCTATAAAGTGAGAGAGAAGAAATCACAATAGCCAATCTTTATAAAGTGCTTCTAATATGTCAGGTACTATTCTAAGTGCTTTTTACTTAACAATTAATGTATTTATCACAGGAATCCTATGAAGTAGATACCATCACTGTTCCCATATTATACATAAGGAGACTGATGTATCCTACAACTATTAAGTCGCAGAGCTGGGGGTTTGGACCTAGACAGTCAGTACCTAGACTGCTCATAACCACTTCTCTGTGCTGCAGAGCTTTCAGAAACAGGCATCTTCTGGTTCAGGGACGTCCTCTCCTGCTTAGAAAAGGGATGCTTTCAACTCTGCTAGGATTCTCTACACCTTGATATATTCCTTTTAAATCAGGAGTCAGCAAACATTCCTGTAAAGGGCCAAATATTTAGGCTTTTCAAAAGGCCGAATGGTCTCTGTTAGTAACTACCATTGTAGCAGGAAAGAAGCCTTAGTCAATATGTAAATGAATGGTTGTAGATATGTTACAATAAAACTTTGTTACCAAAACAAGCCGCCAATTACAAAAAACATGGCTGAAATTTAACTCTTTTATTTATTTTTTTTTGAGATTGAGTCTCACTCTGTCGCCAGGCTGCTGGAGTGCAGTGGCATGATCTCAGCTCACTGCAACCTCCTCCTCCTGAGTTCAAGTGATTTTTCTGCCTCAGCTTCCCAAGTAGCTGAGACTACAGGCATATGCCACCACGCCCAGCTAATTTTTTTGTATTTTTAATAGAGATGGGGTTTCACCATGTTGGCCAGGGTGGTCTCGATTTCTTGACCTTGTGATCTGCCCGCCTCAGTCTCCCAAAGTGCTGGGGTTACAGGCGTGAGCCACCACAGCTGGCTAATTGTTTTAAATGTTTATGGTATGAATAAAAGATTCTGTGTTAAAATTAATTTGGGAAATACAGTCTCGCACGTATTCCCATCTTAGAGATTCACAGTTCACCTCCCACCTTTTGTTTTTTAAGAGACAGGGTCTTGCTCTGTCACTCAAGCTGGAGTACAGTGGTGTGATCAGGGCTCACTACACCTCAGACTCCTGGGCCCAAACCATCCTCATGCCTCAGCCTCCCAAGTAGCTGGGGACTACACCAGCCACTTTGCCTGGCTACGTTTTTTTTCTTTTTTTAGAGATGTGGTCTGTTACCCAGGCTGGTGTTGAACCCTGGTCTCAAGTGCTTCTCCTGCCTTGGCCTCCCAAAGTGCTGGGATTATAGGTGACAGCCATGATATCCAGCTCACTCTATTGTTTTAAAAACTTCTCGGGGTCATGGAATTTTTAAAAAAATCATGACTGTTTCCCTCTATTTTACATTGCGACCTCACAAACATATGGGACTACAGAACTCTCTTTCCTTTTCTTTGGCAAAAACAACTATTAAGATCCCTTGGAATCTGTAATCTGTTGTCTACATTTGGGAAATGTCTATCTCCAGTTTATCTATAAAACCCCTTTGTTTTATAGATACGTAAATTGTGTCTCCATACACATCAGATGGTTCCTTCTAGACATCTGCAAAGCTAGACTCCCTGTCTTCCCCCCAGTGTCTGCTTCTCCTCCTATGACCGCATTTCAAGATGAGCTCCATAATCTAGAAACTTTGAGAAATTTGCTCTAGAATTATCACTCATCTCACAGTCCCACTGCCAGTTAGTTTCTACTTTTTAACATACTTCCCTTTCTTTCATATATCCTTTCCACTCTATCCTCATCGCTGCTTATTTCCCAAGCATATTAGACCACAAAACTATGGAAAAATCTATGGATCTGCAGGTGGAAACATAAATGACATGAATCCAGGGAAAGCTCAACTTTTGTGGCAGCAGCAGCAGCTCTCATATCCTCTTGAGTCCTCGGGCAGGGGGATGCCAAGCCAAAGAGGTGTGATGTGGACTGAGAGAGATTTGTGACCATGTGGTAGCTTTCTTTTACTTGGGGTTAGGGTAGAAGAGACCCAGATCTTTAGAAGCATGGAATTTTTATTTAGGAAGAGATCTTCATTGTTAGCCACCTGATTTTACAAAATAAGAAACTAAGGCCCAAAGACTTGACAGTTGTCACCAAAAATTAGGGGGAAAGCCAGGACTGAAGACTAGATGTCTTCTCTTCCAATAAAGCACTCCCTCCACTCTGCCCCCAGTCTCTTCTTGTGTAATAGAAACAGCACCTTGGAGCTGAAAGGGTCCTTGGCGAGAATGTTATAGGTGAAAGAGCTAAAGCCCAGTGAGGTCAGCTAGACCTACCCAAGATGTAACCACAGAAAAGAAGCCACCTCAGCACCTCCCCAGCAGGGTTTCAAAGCGTAGGTCCCCTGGTACTGTCTCTTCAACTTAGAAGAGTTTAGAGTCTTCAGGAGAAGTTATTAAAAAGACTTGCCTTTTCTGAGCCCAGGATCCCCTTGTGTAAAGTGCTAGGGTTGGGGTCACTTGATCACTTGGGTTCCATAGAATAATTCCATTTTGTGATTCTAAAAGGAGACAGTCTTGTTTCCTTTTATGACTCATGTTTCAAGGTTTTTTTTCTGTGAACAAAGGATCTATCACTCTTTTCCAGAGGATTCAAAGGCAGCACAATTTATTTGCATGGCCGATTGTGAGCTTCTTGGGGCCTGACTTCTCAGTCCTAGCTTTTTGTCCATCCTGGTGAGTGACAGACATGGCCCAGGTTCCAGGCTGATGTGAATCTTTGTGATCTCTGACTTCATGTCTTTTCAGGTAGAGGTAACCTTTCCCTAGACCCCAGGAGAGAAGGAAAGCCAACTCTGTAGAGCAGTTTTTCAGCATCCCGGAAGATGAGGATCTCTGGATGGTGTTTTGTATGGGGTTTTCACCTTCAAACTTGGTAGGGAGGAAGGGGAACATGATGGAGGGAAGTCTAAGAGAGAGAGATAAGGAGAAAAAGAAATAGAGCGAGAGAGAGAGAGAGAGCACAGCAAAAAGATACCCTGCATGCTGCATGAGAAGACAAAAGCAAGAAGATAGAGTAGCAATAAAGAGCAAGTGGGTTGAGGGCTTCCATCTCTCTGCACCTGCCCACTCCACACAGCTCCAAATCCCAGCCTGTCAGAGCTGAAAGGGACCATCTGGTTCTAGCCTCTTATTTTATAGATAAGAGCCCTGAGACCCAGAGAAAGAAAAGATGCCCAGAAACATCATGCAGCCCTGTGCACCAGGACTGAGGGAGCTGCCTCTGGGGTCAGGGCTTTCTGGGTGGAGCTCTGTTCTGTTTGTTCTTATCTCTATTTCCAGCCTGGATTCAGCCCATCTTTGTCTGGGGAGTCGTGACTGGAACCTGCTGCCTTCTAGCAGTGCTCTTCTGCCAACTAACTGGAAGTCTCTCTTATTGCCTTGGTACAGGATATACTGCGGGGACACCATACAAGGTCCCACCAACCCAGAGTAATACTGCTCCACCCCCCTACTCCCCATCACCCAACCCCTATCAGACGGCCATGTATCCAATCAGAAGTGCCTACCCCCAGCAGAATCTGTATGCCCAGGTAGGTACATGTCAAAGCCACCTCTTCTGCAGGTAGAGGAGCCTCCAGCCTGGGTGCAGTGTAGTGGGGTAGGGCGAGGAAGTGAGGGAGGAGAAGAGGGTTTATGGCTCTGGCTAACCAACCCTGTTGTACGACTGAAGCAATATTCCTGCAGTCTGCTTACTCCCTCATTCCACCTCAGCCCCTAGAGGGGTGAAGCATGAAGTCATTTAGATTAACAGAGCCCAGAACATCAGAGGACAAGGGCCCTCAGAGATTTTCTAGCTCAGCTCCTTTGTTAAACAAGCGGGGAAACTGAGACCCAAAGAGGGGAATGACGTGTCCAGGGTTACACCATGAGCTATTAGTTGGTCAAGATGAGACCTCAATGTCTTGGTCTTTTCTAATCCCCACATCTGCCCTTCCTTGATCAAGTCTGTGAACTGAGTGGGGAGGAGGAAAGTACACAGGCTCTGTCACCAGTGTCCTCTGTGACCTTGGGCAAGTTACTCTGTGCCTGATGGCCCTTTCTGGGCTCCTTCAGCTGGAGGACATATGCTTTCCAGGATTGGTATGAGACAGGGGACCATATGGGCCTCTAGCACACCCGACACATTCTTCTGGAGTGACAACTCTATAGGAAGTATGTGGTGAGGAGAATAGTTTAAAAAACAGCTGTATTTTAGAGTAGAAGGCAAAACTTAAGAGGCTTGAGATATTTTTCTCGTTTAGTAGAAACATTTGAAGATTTCTGAATTAAGATGATCTCAGGGACTCCAGTTTACTCCCCCTGGAAGTCAGTGGGCCAGTGGATTGTGGCAGCAGGAATTGGGAGTCACCTTGGACCACTGTCTTCATCCTTACCTTTTCTACCTAAAGGGAAATGCTATCCATTT